ACTGAATGCCATTTTAATAAGTAAAGAGTTGATACTGCTGAAGATGTGCACCGAGCACCAGCTGCAATTAAGTCGCTTCTTTGTGCCACTTTGTCAAGTCTTTGCTTGCGGGCATTGTTTCGGACAATTGATGGCGGCACACTGATCCCCATCACTCTCGCCCAACTATTAGCTGCCACACTTGCACTTTTTTTGCATATTCTCCTCATTACTGATAAGGAAGCACAGTAGAGAAACGGATGACTGTATTACCTGAGAGAGAATAAAAAGACCACTCAATAGAAAAAGCGTATTGCCTTTGTTGATGTGATCGTTTGCTGCAATGAGAGGCAATCACTACTGAGGTGGATTGTCATTTTGCAAATTCGATTTCTGACAGCGTTGTAAGCGGCGATAAATTGCGTCGATGAAGGTGATGGTGATGGTGATGTTGAAGAAGAAGTGTGCGACTGCCTGCTGTGCAGTTGTGATGTCCTCTGATTGCCCAATGGACTGCTCAAGGATCAAGATGCGCGCCACGGTGGTCAGTCTGGCTGCATTACAATTTGCTGCACTTTCCATCATTTCGAGAGTGCTGCTTCCCTCCTATCTTTAGCAGCAGACGCAGCCAACCAGGTGTGTGACCTTTAACTACTGCCAGCACTTCCACTACTACATCTGTCCAGACCACCAAGTGGCACCTGTTCAAGTCTGCACTGTTTCTTCTTCTTCTTTTTCTTCAGTGTCGTTCCAACAACAAGGACACCTGCATCAGCGTTGTGCGTGCATGTGCGCGCGCCCGCCTTTTGTTTTTCTTGCTGTCTTTTTGTTTAGTTGCAGTGCACTTCTTCATCGAGGAACGAGCTGCACTCGTCATGCGCTTCATACACTGGCTTCTTCACCGTACAACCATCGTACAGTAGTGTTACTGTCAGAAAGAGTCTGAGTTTGCGTTTGTTGCTGCCACAACGAGAAACTGTGCTTTGGGAGAAGAACTGCCAGAGAAGCGCCAACTGGGCGCCTTATCGCCAACTGCTCTTGCTCTCGCCCAGCAACCGGCCATATTTTGCAAACACTTCACTGGTGTCAGTGGCTGGGCAGCAGCAGCAGCGGATCATCGTGTACGACAGACATCACGGCGACAACAACGACGGAGACTACCGCCAGTGGTCTTCATTCAGGCGATCTACCACCTTCCCCAGTGGTGGGTGGGTGCCCTTTAACGGCACTTTAGCAGCTCTACCAGTGACATTCCTCCATTGACAATCACTCTCACTCACTAAGCACACTTCTACTGATCAGTCAGCTGACAAAAAGAGTGGTAGCACAGTTTGTGTGTGTTGTGTATGTGCAAGCATGGCTCTGGTAGCATCGTAGTCTGCCGCTGGTGCACGCTAAATTACCCGTTTGCACCCGTCAACACAATCACTTTTTTACTAGTATTATTACTGCTATAAGTATTACTATCACCATCAACATCGTCGCTCAGTGATTTGTTTGCCATCGAAAAGCGTTGGCGCCTCACTCTTTCTCTATCCCTACAAGTGCTAATTAATCGACCCCTTTGTCGATTGCCAACTTTTTCCTCTTACTGAGACCATTCACTGCGCGACTGCTGATTGATTTGTCAATGGGCAAAAGTCGTCCTTACATCAGTTACATCCAAGAACAAGTGCCACCAAACAGCAGTGATAGAGGAATCACTTATTAAGATAATCAAATGTTCAAACTGCTGCTAAACAGCAACTGCAGCTGCAGCAGCCACTTTCAGTGCTCAAGATGCTCTGTCTAGTCCGACTGCCAAATGACTTTCTCCTAGAGGTCACACTTGGCCCCAGAGCTCGAGGGCAAGAATGCCTCGATAAAGTAAGTGACCGGGTCTCAATCTCCTTACCTTACCTTTTCCTGTCTTTTTCAATTCAGGTCTGCGAAAAGCTAAACACCATTGAGGTGGACTTGTTTGGCCTGCAGTTCAAGAACAAGAATGGCGACCGGTACTGGCTCAATTTGCGGAACATGATTCGCCAACAAATTCACGTTCAGCCAATTAGACTAGTCTTCAAGTTGAAGTTCTACGTGCCACCCCACCTCATTCAGCAGCAGAGCACGCGACACCTATTTTACCTCAACATTCGCGCCAGTTTGCGAGAGAAGCAGCTTAAGGTGACTGACGCTGGCAAGCAGGCCAAACTGATAGCCCTCATTGCACAGGCAGAGCTGGGCAACTACCGAAGTGATTCCGTCGATCTCAAGCAGCTCTACTCGGAGTGGATTCTCCTCTTTGACGGTCCGTCGCCCGCGGCATCAGCATCGGCAAGCGAGGAGCAGCACCAGCAGCAGACAGTGATTCGCCAGCAGTCAGTCGAAGTGCAGTCAGAAAATGACTCCTCAAATCAGCCAACTTCGTCTTCTAGTAAAAGTGGCGCTCGCAAGCGTCGAAAACATCACTCTGACTCTTCTGTGGCCGGAATCACTGCCGCAGAGAATGAAGCTACCGAAGAAGAGGAGGTAGAAGTGAACACTGCAGTGCAGTTTGCAGCAGGGTCCACTGGCGGTCCCAGCACAAGCACCAACATCAGCGCCTCGGCGCCTGATCTGATTTGTCACTCGATTTCGGTAATTAGCATTGACAGTAATCAGCAGCAGCAGTCGCCCCCACCGCCGCAGCACCTTTCAACTCCCGTCCACGCCCAGTTCTACCGGTCAATCGTCGAGCACCACATTCAACTGCAGGACTGTCTGCCGTCGAATGCGGAAAACAAGCTCCTTGAAGAGATGGTCGATTTGGAAGACATTGGCATTGACTTCTTTTCCGCCTGCGACTGTGACGGCCAGGGCAAGTGCACCATTGGCGTGGGCACACGTGGGGTGATCATTGGACACACTGAGGCGCCTGTCGTGGAGAAAAAGATGTAAGTAGGATGCAGTTGCAGACAGTAACGCTCAATTGTCTGCTCATCTCCTAATGATCCTCACTCTCTTTCTCCAGAACCTATGTTGCATTAGTGAAAGTGCGCACATCGACTAACTTTTTCATGATGAAGTACATTGAAGAGGATGGCGAAGTGACGGAACGCAAGTTTCGCCTCTCCTCCACCAAGTCTGCCAATGCACTGTACAGGGTAAGTATATATTTTTTGATTTGACATTTTACAATTGCTAATGCCGTCCTCACACATTGCACACATTGCAGATAATTACAGAGAAGCACGTCTTTTACAGCTGTGATACGGTGCGCGATTCAGTGACAACGCAGTGCGTCATTGGTCTGACCGGAATGTTCTGGTCTATTACGCCGGCCATTTTCAAGGATGACCCTGAAGTGGGCAAGAACTTTGTCTTTGACATTCGACGCACGCTGCGCCAGTTTTACGATGACGTACAGCGGACAATGTTCAAGCTGAGGAATCAGCTCGAGGGAAATCTCCACCTGCTCATCAGCGATGCTGCAGCAGATGAATGTGAGCAGATGACCACTGAGAGTCGACCAAAGAGCAGCACCTCCTCTAATGATCAGGTAATCAGTTGTGATCTAGTGTATTCAAAGCACTAAAAGCTGACCAATATTTTTGTTTTCTGAAAAAATCAACAGTCAAATGAAGAGAAGCTGCAGTGCCGAATTTGCTTTGACCGTTGCATTGAGATTGTTTTTATGCCCTGCTGCCACGCCAACTGCTGTGAACGATGCAGTGCTGATTGTGATAACTGTCCACTCTGTCGAGCTGTGGTCAATGATAAACTGAAGATATTCCTCTGAAAACAAGAACTGAAAAGCTTTCTCTAATTATCCCCTACCTAGTCTCATAGTCATTTAAACTTGATCACCATTTCTAATTACGACTGACCTCACTCAAAGCTTTCCTTCATTCAAGGATTTACCCGCTGTTGATTTGTCAAAACACAATTTAATTATCTGTTGATTACGCTACTACATTATATTCATCTGTTGTTTTTGCACAGTAAGATTACAATATTTTTGCCTCTGTTTACATCATTGTTCAATAGTCCCGCCTGATAGGAATCATAACAATTACTCAACAGTGCCACCGTCGACGGTTGAGCAAATTGGGCAATCAAGATGGCACATGGACATGTCTGTCTTTCTATTTCTCTTTTGANTCATTGTTCAATAGTCCCGCCTGATAGGAATCATAACAATTACTCAACAGTGCCACCGTCGACGGTTGAGCAAATTGGGCAATCAAGATGGCACATGGACATGTCTGTCTTTCTATTTCTCTTTTGACTGAACCATACAACCCTACATTTCTGCTGTTTTTCACCTTTTATCATCGATCTCTTCAGGTGACGCCTCCACGACGAGAAACACTTTTTGTATGGTGTCGTTTATGTGTCCTGAGAAAAAGTAAACAAAAAGTTAAGTGATGGTGTGCGCACAATTGTCAAAGCAGTGTGTAATACCGATTAGGGCCGGCACTTTGACCGCCTTGTCTTTGGCCACTGACTTTGCCCAGTAGACGGGCAGGCCGAGGAGGATGAGAAGGAGGCCAAAGAGTGAGCTGAGGTGGTCATTGTACACCGCAAGGAGAGTGAGCAGCAGACAGAGTATCACAAAGGTGTACAGTACCACCAGTGGCAGCTTGATGGGCCTATCCATCCGGGGACTGCTATGGCGCAGGTAGATGCCTGCAGGGAAGGTTCAATGGTCATTCAGTTACATTTGGCAGGCAGAGAAGAAACGCACCCGAGGCGACTGTGATGCCGGTCCAGAGCCAGTAGGCAAAGCTGAACATGAGAATGATCTGGTAAATGTTGCGCACAAGCAGCCAAAGAAGGGTAAGCAGGACGGAGAGTATAATGGACACGACGGGGGTGCACTTTTCAAAGTGCAACATCGACAGCACCGAGGGAAGGTGCTTCTCCTGGGCGCCCATGCAGAAGAGCCTAGTTGAGAAATGGGGAAAATCAGATTAGTGGACAACTTGATTAGCGCCCAGCATACGTCGACGCGTGACGTCAGTGTGCAACACATGCTCCGGTGCAACCTGAAAAAAAGCGTGCGCCCGCAAAATGTTGCCTACCGAGAAGAGGTAAAGAGGTTGGCGTTAAGACTGCCCGCAGCAGATGCTGAGATTGCCAGTGAAATGGGCAACAGCCCCAGAGGACCGATCACTTTGCTGGCAAAGGTCTGAGAAGTGGAAGGGTGCTCATTAGTGGTCATCATTTACGAGTCAGCTTAGTAATAAGGAGCATTTGGTTACCAGAGCAATTGCCGGAGAAGTGACAATTTCAGTAGGGGTGAGCGTGAAAAAGTAGGCCATGTTCGCCAGCACATAGATGACGGTAGTGAAGAGAATGCCGATGAGGGCAGCTCGCGGCAGGTTTCTAGGCGATGCAAAGCGGAATATATTAGCGGGAAAATAGGCATTCAAAGAGGGAGAAAGGGAGAAAAGGAAAGATAGTAAGGAACAATGAGTGAAAGTGATATCTAGGCGACAGTGCTTCCAGAATGCTGTCGTTGTGGAAGGGAGAAAAAGTGTTTTCGCTCAATAAAAATGGAAAAAACAGTAGCTCCACTCACTTGTAGGGGTCTTTCAATTCATCAGTTACAATGTTTAAGTAGTTCCTAGAAAAGAGAAAGAGATAGTGAAAGTGAGGGAGAAATGCGATAGGAAGAATCAGCACAAGTAATGAGTGATGCTCTGGTGCTACGATCTAACGATGGCATTTAGTGCACAGCACATCATTCCAGGGAAGCAGTGTGCACCGATAAGGGCACCCACAATCGTTTCTAATGAGATGATGCGCTGGCACTGCCAGCAATGAAGCCAATCGACAGCTGATTGCAGATGCCCCTTACCAGCCACCAAAGGCAAAGAGGCCCGTATAGATGGACAGTGAGTAGTTGGGCACGCAGTCATTGCTGTGCCAGTCGTCGGCGGTGGGGGAGGAGGCGGCGGCCAGGGCAGCATTGGGAAGTTTGCCTGCCAGAAAGAGGAAGGTCATTCTTAGTTCTCTGAATCTGGTGAATGTGCACTGCACTGCGTTTTTACCAATGGTTGTGAAACCAATGCCGATGGCTATAATGATTACCAGGGCAAGCACCTTCAGCACTGTGAATGTGTTCTGTGTGGGGGAAGAGGGAGAGAGAGGAAGAGAAAAGCATGTATTCATGTGTTGCCTCATTGCCGCCTTCACACTTTCTCTCCCTCACACACACAGAAAGCGAAAGAAAGAGAGGCGACCGGAAGTGTGTGCAAGCTGACATTCCGGTGAAAAGCCCCCAGCAAGCACCAACGGAGGGAGAGACAGACATACCTGCAGCTGAATGGCCGATTTCACATTGACGCAATTGATGTAGCCAAGGAGGACTGTCGTGAATGAGGAAAGGTAGTGGGCAAGTAGTGCGCAAGTGGTTAGTCAGTCATTTTGTTGTCCCATCATTCGCACTAGCAGTCGAACCAGCCGCCTGTGCAGGTGGCTGCGCTGACAAGTAATATTGTACCACTGGCAGTGTGTTGATGTTTGTGTTGGTGTTGTGTTACACTACTGCCGCCTGTCACAGGACGGCATGTGACACTGCCACTGCCACTGGCGCCTTCATTGTTGCTGTGTATGGGTAAATGTGGTAGTGTCTGTGTGACTTACCGATGAGCAGCGCTGATATGATTCGAATGATCGCCTCAAAGTCCCACGAGTCGCAGAGCGACTTGAAGGGCTCGAGAAGGTAGTAGGCGCATGTCAACGCCAGAATTGCCTGCGAGGCTGGCCGAATGGCCGCCAGGTTGATCCAAAGGTAGAGGAAGGCAACGGCTGAGCCAAAGCCTGCATTCAGGTAAGCGTAGTCACCGCCAGAGCGAACAATGGTCGTCCCCAGTTCCGAGTAGACCAGTGCGCCCATCATGGAGAAGAGCCCGGACAGGACCCAGACGACAGAGGCGCCCACATAAGTGCAGTTGGCGTTCTCGAAGACGCCCTTTGGACTGACAAAGATGCCCGAGCCGATGATGATGCCCACGACAAAGCAGATGCCACTGGTGAGGCCAATCTTGCGCTGAAAGTTGGTGTTGTTGCCGTTGATGCTGCTATTGCTGCCGGTAGCCCCATTGGACCCATTAGTGCCACTCATCGCACTGATGAGTTTTGCTAGTGCTGCTGCTGTGGTTGCTGCTGTGGATGATAATTATCGTTCTTCGTGGTGATTAATTGATAACTAGGTTAATTGTGGTCTGCCTGCAGAAAAAGTGTCTGCTGCTGCTGCCTCTTTGGCGGCGTCGGTTGCAATGAGCCCGTCCGTCGATGGAGCTGCCACTGGCCAAACTGTTGATGATCGGCAACCGGTGACGGGCCTCTGCTGGCCACGACCACCTCCAGCTACCAACGACGGCAGCAACCACGGCGTCGGTGGCGTCAGTCTGAACAGCCAGTAGCCTAGTGCACCCTCGCACCAACGCAAATGGTGCATCCCTCGCCTTTGCTCTCAGGCAAAAAAGATCCAATCGGGCGGAACTACAGACTGCCTGACTAAAGTGTTGTACAATGTCTCTGCTGGTGTCTACAGGAGGTGTCTGACTTTGATTGAGAGAAAGAGAGAAGGGAAGAGAGGAGTGCTTGTCTGTGTATCATGTTGTTCCCAGTGTCTGTCGTCAGTTGCACCTCGTGTGTCGCGCCAAATGTGTGCATGTGTCGCCTGGCGCTTGTTCCCCATCGGCTGCAGTTGCTCTGCTGTTGAAGCGGAGCAAAAGAACTGAAAGTAACTCAACACGACAAGTGCTTGCACTGTACACTGTGGTGGCACTGATCTGCCACCGATCGATCGTCCATTTCTTGGTCGTGCCACTCTTTCACTTCAACGGAAGCCAACTCTCTGTTTGTTTGACAGTGGGCAACGACTGCTTTACTAGCTGACTAGTATTTACTTAGTGCCAATTGTAGTAAAATGAAGCACTACTTGCGCGCCTAAAAATTGGGCAGTACTGCTGCTTTCGCTGTATGGCCAGCAAAAGATTAATGAGCGATGTTGCTCCATTAGAGTACTACACTGCTCGTACCTGGCCGGCTGATAATCTGACAGGTGAATTGACAATTGCCACAGATTCAGGTCATNTGGGCAGTACTGCTGCTTTCGCTGTAATGGCCAGCAAAAGATTAATGAGCAATGTTGCTCCATTAGAGTACTACACTGCTCGTACCTGGCCGGCTGATAATCTGACAGGTGAATTGACAATTGCCACAGATTCAGGTCACACAAGCTGATGATGAACCGTAAAATGCACACAGAGACATTTGTCAATTTTCCTGTAAACTGGTGTAAACTTGTCGATTGCTGTAAAGTCTAATGGACGGCAGGTGTAATGTGCCGTAAAAAGATTGACTGTCTGTCGGCGAGACACAAAGTGATCGTTCTGTCACCGTTGATCGTAATCAATGATCATCGCTGGTCAAAAACAGCAGTGCCCCACTCCCAAGGGAGTAGTCTTTTTAATTCGAATGAAACAAACATTTCCAGTTCAAATGGTAAGTCAGGTGGCGGCGTCCTCTCATCTGCGAGCACCTCTTACCAGCTCGTGTTTTTGTTTTGGCATTTTTTTTCCCAGCTGTGAAAAGCTTTTGGGAGTTGCGTGGTTGTTATCTTTTCAATATTTTTTCGTTCTTGTGCAATTATTCTGACCTTGACATTACCAGAATTTATAACAGTTAAATGTCAGTCTATTTACGGGTGGAGCTACGCATCAATTTAGCATAGTAAAATACCTAAAAGTCCTAAAGTTGTTCCTGTCGCTGAGTGAAGTAATGATAACAGCAGCAGCAGCAGCAACAACATCAGCAGTATCTCCTGGTCCACTGTGGCTGAGCTGAGCTAATGTCATGTTCTGTGGATATCAGCGGGTGACACTGCACAGGAGCCATGAATCGCCATCCCGTCTGGTCAACCGCCAATTACACTGCGGAGCACAAGGACTTGCAGGCCGTGTGCCTGGCCACCTCCAACAATGGAAAGTGTGCGCTCATCTCAAGACGGTCCATTTCGGTGATTTCCACTGATAAACTGAGCGATGTCGAGTACAACATTAAACGTGATACCAAGTGGGATACGACCTACGCTGAATTCAGCACTCTTCAGCGCAGCTACATTGCCATTACCAACGCCCAAACAGTTCAGATCTTTGATACTGACGGTACGAAAAAGGATTGTTAATTGTTTTTCATTTTCTTTTATGGCCGCACTTTTTTCAGATACCGGTCCGACGTCGCTCATCCACACGCTGAGAGGTCACACTCGCACAATTACTGATTTGAACTGGTCGTACAATGATGCTAATGAGTTGGCAACTGCATCGTACGACAACTACATGCACATTTGGGATCTTCGTGATGGCGCCAGGTAATTAATATTTTTTTTGAAAATAGTTTGATCAACTTTGTTGTCTTCTACAGAAAACCATCCTTATCAATGCATTCAATTGCCGGAGCGACACAGGTCAAATGGGCCAAAATGGACGACCACTATCTTGCTACGAGCCACGAAGGAGATGTTCGCATTTGGGACAAAAGGGTATGTTTTTGTCATAAAGAAAGTGTTACAATAACCATCTTTTGAATTGCAGAAAAGCAACACTCCAATCCACTACATAACAGCTCACCTCTCCAAGATTAATGGAATTGACTGGAATCCATCTTCTAGTGGACAATTTGTTACCTGTTCTCAAGACGGCAATATTAAGGTAAAGAAATCAGTTTTATTGACATTTCATCTCATTTTGATTTTTTACAGTTTTGGGACCTTTTGACAAGCGTTTACAAAGGAAAATCAGATTCCATTTTAAACACCGGATTGCCCGTTTGGAAGGCCCGTTTCACTCCGTTTGAAAATGGACTGATGACTGCACTTGTGCCTCAACTGCGAAGAACAGAAAACAATTTGTGGTTGTGGAACATTTCCAATCTTGCACAACCCTTGCATTCTTTTGCTGGTCATTTGGATGTGGTGCTTGATTTCGGTTGGAACGTCAAATCGAATACTGAATGTGAGCTAATCACCTGGGCCAAGGATAACGCCCTTCGACTGTGGCAACTGAATAGTCAGACTTTTCAAAACACCATCGCCCAGAGCAATAACACTGAGGAAAGTGCCGATTCTAATGGCGATCAGGAAGAGCAGTTTAATTCTGATTCAGAGTCAACCAAACTGGACAACATTGAGCTGGGCAGATCAAATAACCCTTCCCCTATTTCAAGCAAGATTGAGTCGACTAAAAGTGAAAACGATAACGACTCAGACTTGGGCAAGTCTGAAGCAGTTGGCGGCGGCAGCAATACGCTTACCTCAAACAGCATCATCCTCAGCCTGAGCCAGGAGTTTTCGCTGGTCAACCAGAATATCCCAAACATCATTATCGAGGAGCTGAACGCCGCCAAGCGCATCTGCATTGTGGCCACCAAGTCTGTATTTAGCTGTCGATTGAAGATATTTTTTCCGCAAAACTACCCGTACAATGTGATTCCGCAGTTTATGTTTCTCAACGACAAGAGCGACCACGACACATCAATGTCCACCAAAAGCCTAACTGAATCAATGAAAAAAGAGCTTCTCAAGGTGCTGCAAACAACGGCCACTTCGCAGGTGCAGCGAAACCGGACCTGTCTGGAGAAGTGCCTTCGCCAGTTCACCTCCACCTTTGAGCGCCTCATCTCGGCCAATCACCAGAATGCAACTCCGGCGAAGAGCCACACACTGCTTGATCTATTGCCTAGTCACAAGTACGGCAGCTACCTCGATGCATCAGTGCCTTTCCCGCGCACCTCTGGCGCCCGATTTTGCTCCTCCGACATTCTCGTCTGCTTCGGACGACCGCCTCATCTGGAGCAGATGAACGCCCCCACCGAGTTTACGCCTCGGTCACTGTCTGCCCTCTCCGCCTACCTCACCACTCACGTCCGTGCCTTCAATAATCACTTCAAGGACGACAAAAAGGACTCGTTCGCACTTTCCATCTCCAACTTTTACATTGACTCTTCGCGCAAGCGTAAGCTGCGCCACAAAACCAGTAGTAGTCACGCTGACAAGTCGCCAAAGCACAAAACGCCAAACCTCTGCGGTCCAGTGTCGGTGTTCAATGCTGCCAAACTGCTGCCCATCTCACGATCTCTTGCCGAGCAGTACATTGTCACCAGCAAGGACGGCATCACCGGAATCTGTGAGATGAACGCCAAAATCGCCGCCAACTCCTCTCGACGCGACCTTGCTCAGATGTGGACTCTGGTGCGTCTCTCTGCGGAGATTTACCTGAAGAGTATGCGCAGCTCTGACAGTTTTCTCACCCCCTGGTCGGAGCATCCTTTTGGCAGGAAGATGATTCAATCGATGTAAGAGTGAAACAATGGTGGTTACGCTTGTGACTTAATATAACATGCATCTTTTCCAGGATTGAACACTATGCTTTGAATAACAACGATATTCAAACGGCTGCAATGATTGCCTGTGCTTTTAGTCAACTAAACGTCAACTCGGAGAGCTTTCTCATCAAGCCTTTCTACGCTCTCGATCAAGACACAAACATGGTACCTCAGTTATTTTGAATTTTAACTTGAAAAAGTNGCTTTGAATAACAACGATATTCAAACGGCTGCAATGATTGCCTGTGCTTTTAGTCAACTAAACGTCAACTCGGAGAGCTTTCTCATCAAGCCTTTCTACGCTCAAGACACAAACATGGTACCTCAGTTATTTTGAATTTTAACTTGAAAAAGCTTCATAGTTGTTTTAAAAACAGTTTAGATTTCCGGTGGTCAATGAGCTCCCCAAATCTGACTCAGTTGTTGACCATAGAAACTTTTGTAAGTGTCTTGTTAATGTTGATGGCATCCCTTGTCTAACTTTTGCCTGCATTATCTCCTTGGAGCAGTGAGCGCAAAAGAAAACATAAGGACTCGATCCAATAGCTGGTCAGAGCACGGGGAGACTGTGTTCAAGCAGGAGCTTTTTCTAAACTACCGACGCAACTCCAAACAAAAGAATGATAAAATCGAACGTGATAGGTTTGTGGACGCTAACGTAGTGGCGGAAACTCCTAATCCACTTTTTCCCACTTTTCTCTTTCAGCATTCTGGACCCTGACTACATGCTGCAGTATGACTACTACAAGAAGATATACGCCGATGTTCTCTACCGGTGGAAGCTCATCGAGAAGCGAGCCCTCCTCCTGCAGACCATTCAGTCACAGCTGCTGAGCGAAGACGAGTCACTGTACCACCTGCCATTCGCCACTCTGTGCCCTTCCGAGCGGTGCACCGCCGACAAAAGGCTCTGTCATGATGTGTTCTGCAGTGTCTGCAAGAAGCACTCGCTCGTCTGTTCGATGTGTCGAATTCCGGTGAAGGGTGCCGCCAACTTCTGCATCGACTGCGGTCATGGGGGTCACACTGAGCACATGGAGGAGTGGTTCCAAACGCAACTTGAGTGTCCCACTGGTTGCGGCTGTCAGTGCATACCATCATCCCAGGCAGAGTGACATGTTTATAAAATGGTATTTTTGTATTTTTTTATTGTACACAGATTAAAAATCTATAACTTCAAATGTTCTGTATCACTAACAGCTGGATGTTATCGATCAGCTATATGCGGGTATATAGCAAGAGCAGGGGCAATAGTTGGTTTATTTCTTCCAGTCTCCCTTCTCGTAGTCGAATTTTGAGGCCAAACCAAAGATTGGATTGGTTTTGTATTTGATTTCTAAATCACGAGTGGCCTGCTTGCCCTCAGGTGACATCGTAGGTGGTAGTGGACCGAAAACTAAAACAAAAAAGGTTTAGCAATGGGAGAAATATTGTGATAAACTTACAGTTCTTGCGGGCAAATCCGTAGAAGAAAAGAGCAAGTCCGACGGTGTAGAGGACGACGGCAAGTTGGATTTTCCACTCGCCGGTGGGAGCTTCAACCTCGGACAAGGTCAAACAGAAGCTGTGGCGGTACACTGCAAAAATGAAGGGCTTGTTAACACAACTGATACATTTGCCATTCGTTGTTGTTGTTTTTTCTGTCGTTGTTGTACTCAAGCACTCTTCACTAGAACTAGCCAAACTTACGCTTCTTTTTCTCATCAAGAGTCAGCTTGCTCCAGTCGCCCTTCTCCTTCTCGCGAAGCTTCTTGATCTCTTCGGTCTCTTCGCGGAATCTGATTGCCGGGTATGGCATGTCGGTGGCATCAAAGTAAACATAGGAACCATTAAAGCCGTACCCGACGACATCTCGGTTTCCGATGAGGGCTCGGTTGTGCAGCTGCTGGGTCTGCGCCAGAGCGATTGCCTTGTGCAATCGGTGGGCGCTCAGGATCTGGTTGAGGCGCGCGGTACGGGCGACAAAAGACATCTTCTCGGCGGTCCAAGAATATCGGTGGAACTTGGAATAACAGAGAAAAACACGAGGAGTTGGACGACGAGTCTTTTTCACCTCTGTCTCAGAGCAAGGAGAGGCGGCTGTTGGCCGGTGTCTGTGGGCGGGCACCTTGTAAACTGCCACTGTGCGCTGCTCACTACACTGTTCCGCCCAGAAAAGCTATTCAGCGTCACTTTGCTTCTGTCTCACTTTCGTACAGTTTGGAGCTAATTCACAGATGAGGTGACATTGTATGTTTTCATTTTTTGCGACAGCTGATCACCAAAAAACTGCAACATGAAATCACTTTAGTTTTTAGTCAAAAAGATGTCGGGCAACTTTCGGTATACTCGCTGGGACCCGGTGCTTATTTCCTCGCAGATTGTCGCCATTCAAACCACCTTCTACGTCACCCTTGGACTGGCTACGTTCATTCTTTCACACCTCACGGGGCACCTTCCAACGCTAGATCTGATCTTCAACTTTCAAGTAAGCTGGTGATTTTTACCCCAGTGAAAGAATAACCATTTTACTGATAGATTGTGAGCTTCCGAACTTCAATTGGCTACTTGATAACTTTTTCATTTTTACTGAATGCATGCGCTGGGTAAGTTTTTTGGACTTTCCCTTGCGGAACTTTAAACTTAAATTAACTTTTGTTGCAGATCTTTGATATTGTTCTACGTGGTTCAACGAGCCAAACCATGTCTTGATTTCACACTCACCACATTCATAATTCATTTCATTCTCGTCTGGATATACAATGGATACTTTCCATATTCGCTCGCATGGTGGATTCTCAACATTGTCTGCCTTACAGTAATGTGCGTCTGTGGGGAGTGGTTTTGCCTGAAGGAAGAGCTAAAGTTGATTCCACTCCTTGCGTCTCATGTTAGCTGAAAGGGCTTTAATTAGAGCGCTCTTTTGTAAATATCACACTGTGTTTTTAACTTGAAAGATTTATTTATTCAAACTTAGCATCAAAACTTTAACAATAGTTTTAACTGACTAGCCTTGACTAGGCTGCAGAATCTTGATTCTGCCTTCGACTTTCGGTTCAAGACGACAAAGTTCAATCGGTATGGCAGGTTCCTCTTGGCTTTTGGAAACTCTTCGAGATAGAGAAATGAGGCTTTGCCGTCGCTGAGACGGCTGAGCATTGTTTAGGGCCACAACTTGGGCCTGAACACGTCTGATGGCTTCAAAGTACTCCGTTACCGCCTGTGTAATAGGCATACAGTCTTCGGTAGACTTGACCAGAGGACACTCTCTCAGCACATCGTAGCCATCCTTTCCTTGAGCGATAAACTCCTTGGTGACTACTTTGTACGCCTTCTGCAGGTCCAAGTCCTGCCCGCCAATCTTTACGCTTTCAAGTGGAACACGGTTTCCCGGTGGTTTTGAAGGATCTAGGAAAACGGGAGAGGAAAACAATGGTTACACTTCAAGTCAAAAATAAGAAGCAAAGGCGCTTACCGAAGGAGAATGAAATTCCCGCCACCTGTGGAAATCGCCCCTCCAGTTTAGGGTACTGCGAGACGCCGTTCTCCAGCGCTCGGTGCACCTGCAGGCCGTTCATCTGCAGCACCAGAATGGACTCCATGTACGGCAGTATGGTGACCAGATCACGCATTTTGAATGGTCCTTTCGGGTGCACGCGGTCGCTGCGAAGTGTGCCCGAGTTGAGCAAGGCAAAGTCGACGTCACCTGCCGCATCGAGCATGATGTCCGCCACCAGATTGCCTAGGTTGGTCTCCGAAGAGCGAATACTGGCAAACTTGCCGTCTAGGTCGCACTCCACGAAGGCTATCACATTCTCCATCTTGCCCTCAATGACGGTGTTGTACTGCTCCAGTTCGGCGGCCAGGGCGGCGTCCTCTTCGAACTTGGCAGTCACATCGACTGCTTCGATCTGCACCTGAACGCCGCCCGCCCCTGGCGAATTGACGGTCACATCGATTTTGCTGAACTGCCGGAAGTCTGTTCCACTCTTGATAATGTACTTTCCATTCACTTTCTCAACATTATAATCGTGGTCATGTCCACCTAGTATCAAGTCTATCTCTGAGACATTTTCAGCCAGTTTAATGTCATTGTGCGTTCTCATGTGAGTCAGTGCAATCACAATGTCCACTTTGTCCTGCAAAAGTACCCATCTGTTAGTCACTCACCCAAAGTCAGACAGCAGTAATATACTCACGTTCTCTCTCAACAATTGTGCCAGTTTGCGACCTTCAGTGATAAAGTTGACATAGTGAATGTCGTTCGGATCAATTACCAGGGTGGATAGCCATTCCTCCTCGATGAGTCCTATTAAGCCAATCTGACCGACAAGTTAGTTTTCCTTTTCAATAATTTTATAGACCCAGTTCTTCAACCCACCTTGATGCCGTTCTTCTCAATGATATGGGACACTTTTCCCTCGCCCAGAGGTGCAGTGGTGTCTTTCATGAAGACATTGCTCATAAGCCAGGGAAACTTTGTCTTTTTTGCAAAGGAAATCAAGTACTCAAGACCAAAGTCTGCAAAAGTAAATGATGATAAGAGAAGTCGAGTTCAACACAGCTGACTCACCAAACTCGTGGTTTCCGTATAAGGCACAGTCAACATTGCAGCACTCAAGTACCGGCAGCATTTGTTCTCCTTTGGTGAATGTACTCACTGATAACATAAACAAAAAAAGTATTAGCTCCAATCGTACCAACTGCAGCTGGACATACTTATCGAGGGTGCAATGATATCACCGCTGAAGAGGACCACCGGCTCCAAGTGGCTGAAGGTGCGCAGGGCGGTAACGAAGCGGGCCGCGCCGCCGATGGGCTCCTGTTCACTGGACTCGACATTGTAGCAGTCGTTAAAGTGCAGAATGCAAAAGCTCTTCGCCGGTGGCTCGATCACCAGACCAGACGCCTCTGAGTGAACCATGATGAGACACCTCAATGGCAGACGGCGGCAAGAGTGAAAAGCGGTGTTTGGAATGTAAACAAAGCTCGAAAATAGAACTGAGAAAGGGCGAAGAGGCGGCCAATTAGTGGCTGACTTGAAGGACGACCAGTGGGGAGATTTTATATAGATTGGTGCAGTACGCTGAAGACAGTGGTGGTAAGTGGTGGGAAGCTTCGAGGTGGAGGATGAGGTAGGAGTGAGGGGAGTGTTGCGCAGCTTGGCAGAGTTTGGCAGGCAGAGGAGTCTGCGGAAAGACTGCTGATTCGCTGGCGCCAGGTCTTCGCGACTTTGCCGCCGAGGCAGACGAGGCAAGGCACTGAGAGGCACGTTGGGGCGCCAGTAGCCGATTGGTGCTATGGTGCCGAAGAAGGGTCGCCAAAGCTGAAGCAGAGAGAACCAGAGTGACGACAGGTACCGCCGCGAGAGTGCTTTCTAAAAGGCAGAGCACTGATGACCAGAATGGCGCAAGTTAGAGGATGCAAGAAGTGGAAGTCTATGTGTATTGCCGAAGCGCCCGTCAGGCGATGATAAGCGAATAAATTGTCGCGCGCGCTTGCACTGGTGGCAGGATTAGCTGGCGCCTAAAAGAGAAAATCCTCTCCCGCTGCTGCTACCAACTGCTGCAGCTGGTGCTAATTTCTGTTTTCAGTAGGCGTCACCTTTGAGCAGTAGTCTGTCTCAGGGGAAATGTAAAGACGGAGGAGATATCGAAGAAATGTCCTCAGCCAGCTGGCAGGCAGCACGTTTCAGAATATGTGCGTTGCGCAATGTCCAGTCTAGAGACTGAATGGGAGGATAGACAGGTGCCAGAGGTGAAGAAGGTGCAGAGAAAGCTGCTGCCGTCTGGGCGTCCCATTTTGAGGGTAATCTCAGACTGCAGCCTGGTGACCTCCTGGGTCTGCTGGTGGTGGTGCCCACAGCTGAGCAGAGCATCCACCACTTCCAAGACTACGAGTAGCCACCGAAGTGATCACTCGAACAATACACACATGCACAATCCGACCGTCCGTCGGATGGCAGTGAAAGGCGCAGCGCCATTGGAACGCACTGTATGAACGAGGATACACCGCTGGATTGTGCGACTTTGGCGGCCAGTAAACGGCCGACCAGCTCACAGCACCGTGTGCTCTTCCAGTTCCAGGCGGTGCAGAGTGCAGTGCTATCGGCGGCCAGGCAAATCAGTACTCTCACTGCTGGCACTCACCGAGACAGCGCTTCTTGGGCTGCCTCTGCTGCTGCTGCTGCTTTGTCTGCCTCTCCACTCTCCTACTCACTGCTGCTGCTTTCATTCACTACTGAGCTGCTCATCTTAGCGCCGCCACCACCACCACCACCACCAACACCACCGTCGGTCCGTGCTGGTTCCCCCTCCCTACCCGTCCTCACTGTACAAGCCCCCCCCCCCC